TGAGATACTGATCTGTAGTTTTCTTTTCTTGTAATATTTTTGTCTGGTTTTGGTATCAAAGTAATACTGGCCTCGTAGAACGACTTGAAAAGGGTCCCTCCCCTTCCTTTTTTTTTTTGAGTCTCTGTCCAGCTGACTGCATTTTGCATATCCATGCGTGTTGTGTCTGTGAGAGAGAGAGCTTCCTTCTCGCCACTCTCCAAAATATATTACCTTATCCAACTGCTGGATTCTCGCACCTTGCGTTTCTTAGTTCTGAGCTGATCTTTTTTCACAGTTCTCGCCCATCAGGGCACAGATATGCATTGCCAGAGTTGCATCACTTCAAGCAGAGAAGAATAAATTATTAATTTCTGACTTCTATTTCACATAAGCATGTATGCCATTACAAAAGTTACACCAGTCATTCAGATGTCACACTGAAAAATCAGTTGACCAGGATAAAGACTTTCTGGGAATTATTGACTCATAAAACAACTTTGACTTCTTTTCCTATAAAAATTCTAATATGAACGTGCAAATTATGCTATCTTGTGTTCCTTCACAAAAGAATCGATCATTACTAAGTACATGTAAATGTGTTTATTTTAAAAGGTAAAGATTCAGGGAAATTAAAAATAATTTTTATAGGACACAATTACAATAATAATGATAGTATATACTGTATACTTATACTAAACTAAAAAGTTTACAAATTCTGCATTCAGGTTTTCTGGCAAAAACCATCCCTACTATGAAAAATAAAATCTCCACTTCACAGATAGAAGATGGAAATTGTACGAAGAGAAATAAGGCAACTATCTTTAGTCACTATAGAAGATTATATATTATTTATATGTATAATTATACAAGATTATAATTAACTCAGCAAGTCTCTCGAATAAATTCTTCGCAAATAGAGATTAAAATAGACAGTTAAAATGAATAATAATTTTAATCTTTAAAGTGCTTTGCATTTATTAATTCAAAGCACAATGTATCTTAAATAGTTTAAGCACTGCTCTTTGAAATCCAGGTACAATTTAAGGTATTTCAAGCTTCAGGGGGAAGGATATAGCTCAGTGGTAGGCTGTGTGCTTAGGTTCAATCCCCCGTACCTCTGTTAAAAAATAAATAAATTAACCTAATTCCTCCCCCCAAATAAATAAATAAGGTACTTCAAGTTTTGGTAGCTGAATGAAAGAATAATGCCAGAGTTATACAAAATTATCCACAATTTAGTTATCCTTTTTTTGGGGGGAGAGCAAACCAACCTTAATTGTCTGGAAAAAATACACACACACACACACACACACATATGTGTATGCATGTGTGCACGTGTGTACGTGTGTATAAAGTTTGGATGCATTCCCTATTCAAGTGATTCCACCAGAAATACTAGGTGTGGAAATTAGCACTGAATGGAGACACTGTTCTGTTTGATGTTTTCTGCAGGTGCAATCATGAAGAAACTGATACACTTAGCCTTTTAGGTTCAGAAAATGTTTCTGTTAAAACAACTGGAATCAGCCAACTCCAGATTGGAAACTCTCCTAGAAGCATTACCTCATTCATCATAACACTTCTGCCTCTGAAACAAGCTTGAGACAAACACAGTCACTACATTTTGTTCGGGTCCAATTTTTATTTTATCTAAAAGCTTTTCCTATTAAAAGGGCTTTTTGAAAACAGCTTTGTGTGTTCTACTTGAGCGTACTAATCAAACGATGTTCAGACTTTTTAGAGCAAATTTACTTAATTTTCAAACAACTGTTTTTAAAAACCTCCTGAAATAATCCATTGTACTGAGATTGTATACAACACCAATAATAGAATATCTAGGAGATTTTTTCTTTTTTATCAAAAATTCAAATGACTTGACTTTTCATCAAATACCATATGACATAATTACCTGGATTTTCACTTAAAATTATTGCCCTGTTGTCTGGGTAAGTTGTTTCATCTTCAATGATATGCAAATACAATCTGTGGTAGCTAGTGAAACCCGGCTAAGAGGATTTGTATTCAAATATGTCCTGACTCTGCAATGAAAGAGTTGCTTTTGCACATACAAATACAAATTTGTAAAACAGGGTGTGTTTGCCATGTAGAAGCGTTTTGGTCATGGATTTGGACCACAGTTACCCAAATGTTGGCAACAGCTAACATTATAATACCTTGAGCATTAAAATCACGGTCTTACTAAATCATCCAGATGTCCCTGTGACCCAGGCATTGGCACACTCCTTTTATAGATTCTGAACTGAAACTTGCCCAGATTTGACTCGAGTTCTCAGATGCTGCAAGTCCTAGTGTGACCTATGATACAATGTTCTGGAATAATTTGATTTCTGTAGCCATAAAATGTAACTTCTGGATTGCGTGCCTATTATAGATATGATCAAACACTAGGTCATAAAATCAAAGCTACAATTTAGAAGACTCTAAATAATAATTTAAAATAACAAAACTCTATTTTAAAGTTCTAATATATACAACCATACTATAGAGGCATTTGCATCGTCTTGCAGGACCATAAACGTGATTGTGCAAGCTGAAACCATGCAAACACTTAATGGAGAAAATTACAATTGTTCTGTAATTTTTCAAATTTTGTGTCAAAACATTAGAAAACTCTCTTACTGTGGGTTATAAGTATAAAGAGCAGTGAAAAAACAGTAAAGTTACTTGGTACACTGTAACCTAAACATTAGAAACATATTTAAAGATTCCTTTGTAAAAAAATCTTGAAAAAAATGTTTAACTTCCCACCCCCCCCAAAAAAAAACCCTAGGGAAATTAACTTCACATTTTGCAGAATATCAGAACTATCTGTGCTTTGGAAATAAAAATTTGAAAACCACCCCTCCCAAAAAAGTATCAAGATTAGTTGGATCTTGCCTTCTTCTCAACATGTAATTTATGATGCTGGCAAGAATCTTTTCTTGGAAAATTGTCCTACTCTTTTTCAGTTTGGATTAGCTTCCAACATTGTATCCTTTGCATCTTCAGTGTCTGAAAATCTGTCTGATGGTGTGAATGTGTCACTTCCTTGAGGGCATTTTCATCCTTTTTGTAACAACTACTTTTTTCATTTATGTTGATACATTCTCCTTTGCCACTTTGCTTTGGCTAAAGTACTTCACAAAAGCATCAGTGTCACCATTCCCACATTCAACTATTTCTTCTGTAACTCCACTCATGGTTGATTTAAATTTCACTGCAACATTGTGACTCTGTTTCTTTGCTGCTCGCTCTTTCTTTCCTTCTTTTTGTCTTTCTTTGCCACTACCTTCTTTGGATGTTTTTGTGAAACATCATGTGAGTTTATCACTGGGAGACAAGAAGACAACACAACTACATACTTTGCTGCCTGTGAGTGAATTGAATAACAGATACACAGTGACCGATAACTAATGGACTTTGAATGATGCGACTGGTCGCTGGTCATGATGTTATTATGCAGTGTTTTTGTAGATTGAAGCAGCAAAAGTTTGTACTTTGCACATTGCTCACAGTTAATATACTGGTCATTGAAATCTGAACTAAGTTTGGGAGGACAGGTGTTTAACTAAACCATGGTCACTGAAATTCATGCATATTAGAGCCTTGTCAAGTGAGGACAGCCCAAAATGATAATTACCTGAAGGATATCAAGTATCATAAAGAATCATAAAAATACTACTATATACTGAATTATAAATTTATAGATAGATAGGTATAGCTCTCCTAAAGTAATATGTTTGGTTAAAAATATGAATCATATTTTAATAATTAATATTTATTGTGTTATTATAATAATAACGTACTTAACTCCTAGGAATTTAGGAGAGTTTGGAGGGAGATAATGTATAATCCAGGAAAGCTTGAAAGTTCAACTTGATAACTTCCTTTAGATGTAAGGACATTCAACATAAGTTTATTATCCTTAAAGCAGATCTCATGATGGTTTATTTAAAAAAAGAAGAAAGGAAAGAAATTTAAATGCAGAAAGATATACCTTTTACATAGGGCTTTAAAATGCAAACTGTTACTTGCTTATTGAAAAACATATTTCCATTGTAAGCATGTAGAAACTCTTAATCATAATAGTGATCACCCATATGGAGGGGCAGAAAGTGGTTTTAAAGTTTCTCAGATTTGCAGTTTCTTATATATTTATATTTAATGAGATAGTATTTTATATTGAGACTTGAATATTTTTCAATATACAGTACTGCCATCTTTACAGTAACATATGGCCACATTATTCAAATTAATTGCAGTTTTAAAATAGCCCTAAAACTATTTTTTTTCTGACGTTTATATTAAAAACTATTGTATTTAGTCCATGTTTTTAAAGAGCTAGTTATGGTTCTCATCATTATTTAGTAAGTTAAAGACTGAAGTTTTTTTCTAACTTATTTTTGTTTGTTTTAATTCTGGGGGGGGGTTGGTGGAAGGTGATTAGGTTGGTTTATTTATTTGTTTATTTATTTTTGGAGGGAGTACTGGGGATTGAACCCAGGACCCTGCGCATGCCAAGAATGCCCTCTATCACTTGAGCTGTATCGTCCCCTACAAAAGCCTTAAGTTTTAAAGCTGACTTAGGGCTGAGCTCTGGGAAGGAAAGGCTGATTCACAGGCACCTTGAGACATTCATTTATCCCATATACTCTAAGGCTCTCAAAATAAAGACGATGCTAAGTACTATCTCTTGAAGTCATGTTTTCTGCAAGGTGTTAAAAGATTAAAATAAGGTTGTTTGAATTATAATCAAGTTTCATGAGTGTATGTGCATAATGCGTGAGAATTTGGATGGGTAAGTATGCAGAGCATAATTCCTTTGGAATGACGTAGTTTTTGACTGATTGACTTACCAGAACTGCTGAAATAAGAAAACATGCTCCAATTCAATTTGAAGTAATGGGAACTTTGGCTCTGGACAGTTTTTTTAAATGTGTACATGTCTAACTGAATGGCTCAAGTTCATCACTGGTGTTGCACTGAAGTCATTCAGAGACTTTCTTTTGCCATTGCAGGTAGAGCGGGAAAAGGCTATTCTTCTGGCCAATCTCCAGGAGTCCCAGACGCAGTTGGAACACACCAAAGGGGCGCTGACAGAGCAGCATGAACGGGTGCATCGGCTCACGGAGCACGTGAATGCCATGAAGGGCCTGCAGAGCAGCAAGGAGCTCAAAGAGCTGGATGGGGAGAAGGGCCGGGACTCGGGGGAGGAGGCGCATGACTACGAGGTGGACATCAATGGCTTAGAGATCCTCGAGTGCAAGTACAGGGTGGCAGTCACCGAGGTGATCGATTTGAAGGCTGAAATTAAGGCCTTAAAGGAGAAATACAACAAATCTGTAGAAAACTACACGGAGGAGAAGGCCAAGTATGAGAGTAAGATCCAAATGTACGATGAGCAGGTTACAAGCCTTGAGAAGACCAGCAAGGAGAGTGGAGAGAAGATGGCGCACATGGAGAAGGAGTTGCAAAAGATGACCAGCATAGCCAATGAAAATCACAGTACCCTGAATACAGCCCAGGATGAGCTGGTGACGTTTAGTGAGGAGCTAGCCCAGCTCTACCACCACGTCTGTCTGTGCAACAATGAAACCCCCAACAGGGTCATGCTGGACTACTACAGACAAAGCAGAGTCACCCGGAGTGGCAGCCTGAAGGGGCCCGATGATCCCAGGGGGCTTTTGTCTCCACGGTTAGCCAGGCGGGGGGTGTCATCCCCCGTGGAAACACGGACCTCACCTGAACCAGTTTCAAAAGAAAACACAGAGGCCAGCAAAGAGCCAAGTCCAACCAAGACCCCCACGGTCTCTCCTGTTATTACTGCCCCACCGTCCTCTCCAGTATTGGACACAAGTGACATCCGCAAAGAGCCAATGAACATCTACAACCTCAATGCCATCATCCGGGACCAAATCAAGCATCTGCAGAAGGCTGTGGACCGGTCCTTGCAACTGTCTCGTCAGAGAGCAGCGGCACGGGAGCTGGCTCCCATGATCGACAAAGACAAGGAAGCCCTCATGGAGGAGATCCTCAAGCTGAAGTCCCTGCTGAGCACCAAACGGGAGCAGATTGCCACACTGAGGGCGGTGCTGAAAGCCAACAAACAGGTGATCGGTCTCATTCTACCGACAAGCCGCGCTAGCCAGCGCTTTCTTAACTGGTTTATTCCTTCATGCGTTTGGGTGTCCACTGCCGGCAGGGTGAGAGTTCAGATTCCTGGTCAGCAGAGGAAGAAAACAAGCAACCTACGGCCAGTGCCAGATCAGAACGTAGTCATTACTCTGAGGTGCAGGAATGGATGGATGAAACAGGAGAGGAGCTATGCCCCGCTCAGTCGAGGTAGAGGTGAGGAAGTTAAAGCAGGAGCAGAGAAGATCCAGTTGCAGGTGTCAGAAGGCAGCTCAGGGGGTCCTTAGCTGGAGCCCAGCAGTCACTGAGTGTGGAAACAGGAGATGGAGGGATGCAGAATAGGCTGGCGAGGCAGCTTAACACCGGGCGGATACAGCAAGAAAAGCACCCGGCAGGCAGCGGGAGCAGAGGGAGAGAGAAATAGAGGAGATGGAGATAAAGGTAGAATGTGTACTAGCTCTGCCCGTGACCCCACACCTGAAATTCAGGTCCACTTGGGATGTTAATTCACCTGGGTCAGAGCTGAAGCAGTAGAGAATTTTTTCTCGCCATAGACCTGTCCTTCTGCCGTGCGTAGGCGTGCTGCCACGTGAGCCAGCCGGATTCCTAGATATCCTTAATGTCTGAATTTGTTTTTCACCTTCGAGCTTTACCTGGCTGAGAGTGTTATGAAATACAGTCGGGAAAATATTTTTAACCTCTGTTTAGTTTCTCTGGAAAGTGAAGCTTGAAAGGTACATTTGGGAAGGGTGCTGAATAAAGGGTATTGATCAAGAGATGCAACAAAGCATCAAGTATCTTCTCGCAAATGTAAGCCATACTAGGGTTGGAGAGTGAAGGTTAATTTCAGATTCAGAATTCCTTCCCCTTTTGCCTTTATCTGGGGAAAACCACACCATTATCTCATGTCATCTGTGGTACAGCTTTCTGGCTTCTTTATCTTCAGTTCCTACAAACCTGTTGATATAATTTGAAGGTCTATACCACGAGCAATAGTACTGTTTCACTATAAACACGTTTACATAAATCTGAGGGCAAAATGGGACCCTATTTTGTGCTGTCACTTGGCAGGGAAATAGAAAAGATCAGGGCGAATGGAGAATTTGTGAAACCTCTGACTCCAATTTGAGGTCAGGATGAAGAATTTGTTTCCATATCTTTCTGTAATCCGAAGACCCAATGAGTTAGTACGGTCATGAATAACCGATACCATATTAGATAAGGCTTCGACAGCCTTCAAGGACATGATATCCTGGGCATTCTTGGTCAAGCCATTCAAATAACTTCTTTGACTTCTTCCTGAAGGTTGAATATTAACAACTTAGAAACCTAGTTCTATAGAAGTGCCAAGACACTTAGTCGACACAGAAGTATAGATAAGCATGATTGATGAGCCAAGAGAGACGAATTTGCGAATAAGCTTCATTGGTTACATATGTCATGGCAGTAGTAAGTAGGGATGCGAAAAGAAGTGACTAGTAATCTGGTAGGACTTCGACACTTGCTGGTAACTATTCACAGCATAGGACCTACTGAGTGCTTTAGAGTGGTATAAACAGTGCCATAGGAATTCAGAGCAGTGCAAAGAATTCCTGGCTGACTTTTTATTTTCATAGTGATTCGTGGTACCATTTGCGTCATATTAGCATCACAGCTCTTAAGTAAATTAAATGCGGGCACATCTCTAGCCACGCATTTAGCTTTTATTTTAGTGGTGTTGGGCCTGTTACTGTGCTGCTGGGTGCCAGAAATAGCTTCAGGTGTGTACAGATGGCATCCATTTACAGCTAGACATTATGGAGTGTTTATTATTAAGGCCAACCTAAGAATTCTATCTAGAGGGGAGAAAAGGGAATCTTCCTGTTTTAAAATAGACATTCTGCATTCTCTATGAACCTTTTAATAAACCATGGGTTTTTTGTAAGCGCAGTGTCTTCTGATGAAATAAGTAAATGTTTATAAATGCCCATCTGTGTACTAAATGATGATGATGGATGTTAAAGATTCAAAGAAGGCCAGCACATGGTCCCTGCCTTCCAGAACAGGGAGAGACTACCAGGGGTATCAGAATAGAAACAGATAATTACAATTTGATGTTATGCATGCTGTAATCCAACTTATGGGAACACTGCAAAGGAAGTAACTAATATGTCCTAGATCTAGGTCTCTGTGGCTGCAAACAAGATTTTTTATTTAGAAAATCAACCTTGGGAGTGTGGAGAATGGAGATGTCAGCAAATCTGCTAATGGGTTATAGGTACTTAGACATTTTTTAATTCTGGAAGAGCTTTGTGCAGTCTTGTGGACAGAAATCTACAAACAAAGCTGAGTCCTTTGGGGTATTTTTCACAGATAATGAAAGAGTGTGTGCCTTCTCTTTCAGCTCTTGCTCTTTCATCATTGCTCACCCTCCTCCCCTTAGGTAACTGGCCATGTGGCTCCATGTGTTTACAGAGTTGTTACAGCTACATTTTTGCAATTTTATCTCTTCTAAATGATTAGGTGTCTAATTTTTTTTGAAAGTTAAACGACTGCTGTCTTCCCCCAGGTCAGTTTCTGCATTCTGGGTAATTTCCTGGATCTATGATATTTCTGAGGATTCTACTAAATTATATAGCACTACAGAATATACTGAAGTATTGTATGAGTAACTTCTCATTTTAATCTGAATTTAAATTCAATCAAAACTATTAAGATACAACTTTGGAATAAAAACAGTAACAAACTACCTTATCCCAGCATTATTTTAATTAAGAAAAGAATCCGTTTATCTCTATGGAATTTGAACGTGTCCATTTCAAGCACAAAAAGAAATGCCAGAAGCCAGGGTGGTCTTCCTGGGAAACCTGTTAGTAATGGATTTTTCACTAGTATTAAATATTTTTACACACTCTGGAAAGCTGTAGTTAATAGTTTGTAGAAATGGTGTGTTTCCAGTTTGTCTTCAGTGTGTGGTGCTATGCATTAAACAGGCAGGCCCTAAACACACGTTGATTTCATGCATTGACTTAGCTTTTTTTTTTTTTTTTTTTTACTTTCTACTGAGTGTCAAGTGAGTTCTCAGTTTGAAACACTGTTAATCACAAGAGCTTTAAACGTGCCCAAATCCCAAATTCAAACAAATATTTTCATCCATTCAACATTTTGAAATCTCTGCTTTTACAGAGATTATGAAGAATTTGACTATAATTTATTGTTTTGAAGAAGTTGTACACAAAGACTTAGGAAATAACTGTTATTTTCTTAATTCTTTTCCTTAAACATATAACATGGACTTAATAGTTTGTCATATTCATGTTATAAACTGCTGTGGCCTGTGTCTTTTATTCTATGTTTCAAGCCCACAGAGCACAGGCAACATAAGAGTATTTGCGTTAGAAGAAATTCTGTTGTATTTCGATTGGACACTGTGCTTCTTCACTAACTCTCCCTTGATAAAATCCTAGTATAACGTTTCATTTTGGCTCCCTTCGCATCTGAAAACCCCATACTGTCAACAATCTGCATTAAATGTTTACTGAGCTACTGTCATTCCCTGAGCCCCTGATAGATAAGTGACTGGTTCAGAGCCGGCTTCTGGGGCAACTTAACATTATGGATTCATATCCATGTTTTGAATTAAAAAAAAGTTGCCCTGTGTCCAAAATACATATATATGTTTATATAAAATTCAACCTAGTCAACTTCACTCTTTATTTATGAGAGAAAGCAATTGACCCAGCGTGAAGAAATCTGTTATGATAGATTTTCCTGACATGAAAATTGTAAGCATTGTGATTTTTCTGCTTTAGACAGCTGAGGTGGCACTAGCCAATCTCAAGAACAAATATGAAAATGAAAAAGCCATGGTGACTGAAACTATGACGAAACTTAGAAATGAACTGAAGGCTTTGAAAGAAGATGCAGCAACTTTCTCATCCCTGAGAGCGATGTTTGCAACAAGGTAATAGTTTTTTCCTTCCAAGATGAGGCGTGGTACACGGGGAAAAGACTTTAGATTGCACGTGCGCATCTTGGTGCATCAGGAGTGTTACTGAGTGTGCTGTCTAAAAGGGCAAGGTGTGAAGAAAATACATGAGGTTCCACTCTGACAAATCTAAGACAAAAACCTGTTGTGCTGTTTTCCAGAGCCCTCTGCTGGACACACTGGATCAAGCAATTCTTTTACATTTGTTTTTAAATGAATGTAGTATTTTTTTCTATGGACTTATGTACCCAAAAGAATTAGACTTAAAAAAAAAAACCCTCCCATAAGGGGAAAAACCCACTTCCTAAAATAGCTAAATATATTATCACCACTGAAATTTATTTCTGTGACTAATTTACATGCAAGTGTTTATCATTAGCAAGTATTTGTGTGAAAAAGATACCTTCATAATGAAGATTAATATTCATCATATCAACTAATTACTTAGACATTAATATACTGTGAATTAAACTGTAATTTCTAAAATGTAAATTATATGCATATATCACCAAATTTTTCACACTGCCCAACTAATTACTTAGATTAATAATAGTTACTACCTCTCCCCACCAGTTCTTTTAGGAAGCACCACTGTATTTTATTTTTAAACTTGAAATGATTGTTAAGAATTGTTGATTCAGGGGTTTCAAAATCTTGAGATTTTCACAACAAGGTCCTACTGAATAGCACAGGGAACTATATTCAATACCTTGTAA